ATTGTTTCGTTCTGCTGTGCATGGGGTCGCTATGAGTCGGTTCCGACTCGATGGCACCTGACAACAACAACAACAACAATAGCATACTCAAGTAGAAGCTTAAGCTGTTCTGTTTGCTATGCATGGTAAAATTCATGGTTACTAATTTAACTTTTTATGGCAAGTATTAGATGAGGGACTCTAGCGTTAGCACCAGCCAGAGTTTCCTATGGTAATAAGTTGATCGTCTTGATTAGATTTCCTTTCTAATTTCTATAAATTCTTTATACTTCTGTATATGTCTGACTGTTCTCATACTAGAGCCTATTTGACTTGTAAATATCACCTAGGTAGTTTTACTTAAGTTTAGACCAGAAATAGTTGGGAGAGCAGTAAAAGATCTTTTTTTCCCCTCTTCCCCTAACGTGTCATGGAGAAAAGGTTTACAACTTGGACAAGGTTGTAAAGGGTGGGAGGACCCCGAGGGGAGTAACAGATGACTCCAAATAAGGGGAAAGTATGAGGAGAGATAAGCAGATACAGTTGGGGACGAGAGGACCGTTTGAACAGACACTGGTGTTCAAGTTGGAATGATGTAAGACAGAAGTGGGAGAGGTCCTTAAGTCAACATGTGGGAGGCATTTAATACCGTATTAAGGCCTCTGGCCTGATCTTGTAATGAGTAAGGGAGCGCAGAGTGGACACACTCTGAACAGGGGAATGTTTGGAAGCAGTGCTGGGGAAATTAGTTGGATGGTGCTGTGCAAGGTCAATTTGAGGGAGAAGAGAATAGTTAAGGCATCCATGAGAAATGCAACGGCTGGTGGAATAGACAGCAAGCTAAAAGGTGTGAGCAATCCTCTGCACTGTGGTTTGTGGGCAGCCAACGCCCTAGTCTGGCTACACATCAGCGCAGTTACCCCAGAAAGCTTCCTTGCGCCCACTCTGCAGACAGCCCTCTCCCCAGTCCTGCCCCTGGAACATTGTGATAGGTAACCTGTGGCTTTCCACACATCATCCCACCTGTGGTCACACACAGCAGCAGTATCATTCGTGGTTTTGTTAAATGCCCACCTTTCTTCTGGTGACTTTCCTGTTCTAATCCCTTCAGTGGGTTATGCCTTTGGTATCTTATCACCAGTTGTTTTCCTTTTGTGCCATTTAGCACGATAATAGCCGTTTGACTGCTTTTTGTCTTCTCTACCACACCATACAGAGTAGAGGCTGGAGCTCTACCATCTTTCTTCATTCATTAATACACCATATGTATAGGCACAAAGTGTAGCCCACCACAGGGGCTCCGTGCATTTGTGGAGTAGATTGTCATCTTTTAAGTTCCTTGAGTACAAGGACTTTTCATATTTAAACTTGAATTCCTTCTAATAGTAATCATCCAGCTTTGTGTCCCATAGGTTCCTAGCAGATAGGTCTGAGCCTAAGTAGCACTTAGAAATAGGCTACAGAATATAGAAGTAGAATTATTGGGTTGAATAAGATGCAGAATTGTTGAAGTATGTTAGCATATTTCCGTTATGACAGTAATACCTCATAGAAAATTTGGAAAACACTCAAGAGGCAAAAGGAAAAATGCAATAGTTTGGAACTGTCTGATGAGAGATCTTTTCCGATGATTTCCTTAAAGGGCTTTATTGTTGTTGTTACCCGTGGAGTCGGTTCCTACTCAGCGTGACCCTGTACAGGGTTTCCGAGTCTATAAATCTGTATGGGAGCAGAACGCCTCATCTTTGTCCTGTGGAACAGCTGGTAGTTTCGAACTGCTGTCATTGTCGTTTGCAGCCCGATTCATAACCACTACGCTACCAGAGCTCCTTAAAGGGCTTTATTAGTATCCTCTTATCAGAAATGGACCATCTTTCTTATTTCTTCTCCATCTTGCCAGAACTTTTAAAAGTGTGTAATTTGATAGAGAAAATTGGTATCTTTAATTGCATTTATTTGATTTATTAATTGTTCACCATTGAGTTGTAATGCTTGCTTTGTCTTCTTAAACTTACATATATTAGTGTAGCTTTAGGGCCAGTTCTGCCAATCTGTTTATTTTTCTATTCATGTAATATCTGTTTTACCTCTGGTAAATTAAAATGCATCTAACATGTAGCAGGACTAGTTCTTTGTGTTACTTTTCTTCTCTGGGTTTTTGGTACTTCTTAGATCTGTCTTTATCTTTTTTTGGATGGTGAAATGGTCTTTGTATTTAATTGTGTACGTGTAATTTTTTCTCAATAGAATAACTCTCATCCTAGAATTAAATTCACCCTTTGAGAGTAGAACTGAGTTTTCCGAAAACTCAAGCCATTGCAAACTCCATGCAGTGACGTTTCTACCCTGACATACAAGGGTCCTTGTGAGTCGGAGTCAACTTAACGGTAAATCATTTTTTGGCTGTGTTTCCATGCTCTTTGGAAGCCATTCGTAAAGTGCAGTGTGCATTCAAGGTGTTGGGGAGCTGAAACTCAAGTCTCTTGGAGGGGAGATTATCTACAAAAATTACCAGGCATACTTCTAACAACTTGTTAACTTCATCGAAGCAGCGTTAGTACTCAGTCAGTCTAACATTTCTGTTCTTTGCAGGGTGGGAAGCCCCGTAAACACCGGAAGGATCGACTCCAAGATTTAATTGATATAGGCTTTGGCTATGATGAGACAGATCCGTTTATTGATAACTCAGAGGCTGTGAGTAATGTATCTTTAATATAACAGCAAATTCTTTGTTTCTTTGGGAGAGTAGAAATCAAGGGCAAAGTAATTAAAATAGCTAAACAAATATTTTACTTGTACTTGTTAAAGCCATTTTCACTGTTTAAAACCATTTTCCTCTTATCTAAAGGATATGTTGGGCAGGGAGGGGGCCCTGGTGAGTCGTCTATGCCACAGCAATCTGGCTCTGGCTCTGCCTCTGTTGCTAAGGGCAGCCCTTAATAGCACATAAAGGATTGCGTGTGGCTGTTTTCCAATAAAACTTTATTTAGGGTGGCTGAAATCTATATATTATCTAATTTTCCTCTGCCACAAGTATCAGTCTTTTGATTTTTTTTTTGCCCCAACCATATAAAATGCAAAACGATACTTTAGTCCTCAGTTTTTATAAAAAGTAACACTCAGCGCAGGACCCAAGGTTTGCAGCCCTGCACTGGACCTCTATTTTGAATATGCAGAGTTCCGTCCCGGGTCCCTAAGAACCTCTTGTAGCTTCTGAATTGTTGACAGACTTGTGTGAGTAACACTGATTTCATCATCTACTGCTTGCCCTAAGCATTATCATAAACTGTGGGGGGGAAGAAGAAAGTTCTAATCGATGCTGAAAGCCATCCCTGTAAACTGAGGAGTTCTCAGTCAGGGTGCTTGTCTTGAACCAGATGTACTAGTTCCGATTTCTGGAGATAAAGCCTAAATAAGAGATTTGTGGTGTTTGTTCTTTTTAAATTATAAAGCAATATATGCTTATTAAAACAACAATAAAGTACAATAAAGGCTATGGAAATTGAAAGGAAAAGTACTCCAAAATTCCCACTCCCAAAACATAAGCATTATTAGTTGTGTATGTTGTTACGTGCCACTGAGTCAGTTCCGACTCATAGCGACCCTGTAAAAAGTTTCCAAGGTGTGGCTGGTGGATTTGAACCATCAACCTTGTGGTCAGCAGCCCAGTGCTTATCCTATAGTGCCATACCATATCTTTTCCCTAAGAAGCTCTGGTTGCACAGTGGATAAAGCATTTGGCTATTCACCTAAAGGTCAGCAGTTTGAACCCAGCAACTGCTCTGTGTGGACAGAGGTGGGGCAGGGTGCTTCTGTGAAGATCCCAACCTTGGAAAACCTGTGGAACAGATGTGCTCAGTTCTGTGGGCAATGTGGGATCACATAGCCTTGAAAAACACTAACACAAATGTGATTGTACTTTGTATAGCTTGAACCTCAGCTTTTATATACATGTGTGTACATATATATAGAGTCCTGGTATGGTGCTGTGGATTAATGCGCTAGACTGCAAAGTTGATTTGAACCACAAGGTCTAAAATTCAAGCTCACTAGCTGCTCCTTGGAAACCCTATATAATAGGGTCACTATGGGTCAGAACCAACTTGATGACACTTAACAACAACATTATATATATATATGCACACACATACACATACATACACACACATGGTGGTGGTGGTGTACCATGGGGTCAGTTCCAACACATAGTGACCTTGTATAGGGTTTCCGAGGCTATAAATCTTTTATGGGAGCAGAACGCCTCATCTTTCTCCCGTGGAACAGCTGGTAGTTTCGAATGCTGACCTTACAGTTAGCAGCCTAACTCATAACTACTATACTACCAGAGCTTCTACATATATATGTGTACACACACACATATATATAAAAATAATGTATTGCACATTCTGTTTTAGTTTCTCATAGCGTAGTGCTTATGAATCAGGCTGTGAACCGCAAAGTCAGCAGTTTGAAACTACCAGTTGCTCCATTGGAGAAAGATGAGGTTTTCTGCTCCCGTAAAGATTTACAGCATCGGAAACCCTGTTCAGGGTCACAATGAGTCGGAACTGACTCAACGGCACATAACAACAACAACAACTATAGATACAAGAGTGCTTCAGAAACTTCATGGAAAAATTCCATTCTCTTTTCATTCCAGTTTTCCATGGATGTGTTGAAGCCCTATGCATTAACCGATTCTAAAATTCCATGGTCACACAAGTTTCATATACAGAAAAAATTTTTTCTAAAATGAAAATGTTATCTTTAATATATCAGATTACTCAGATAAGTGTATTTGGATTTGCGAAGAAGCAGCTAGCAGAAAATTTAAAGTAGTAGAAGCAAGAAATGGAGACATTTAATTTGAATTTAGGAAAAATGTATATAAGGAAGTGTCCAAGGTATTAAAGTTCATGCTAATCAATTAACTGGCCTCCCCCACCCCACCACTGGTCTAATACATATTAATGATACCTTCACATAATCACATACATGTTTTCCTTCTGATGGCTGTTAGGGTGTAGATCTTTGTTATATTATTTATTATTAATCATGTTTCTTGCTGATGTACAATTAGATTGTTTCCAGTTTTTTTATGTACTTACATATAATTCAGCATCTGTGTACATCTTTGTTAATGTACTTGAGTAAATACCTGGGGGTGTCAAAAAGTTCATGGAAAAATTGTATTATCTTTTTTTTTTTTAAAGTTTTTGTTGTAAATTGAGTGATAATTTATATGGGAGAACATTGGTTTTACACTCAAATGTTTCATTGCAATGATTACAGTGTCTTCCATGCTTCATCATTCAATAATATTTGCTTACATTCCCTCTGGGTTTTTTTTGGTGGTGGGAGGAGATTTGCACAGTAACACTCAGGAATATATAATAATTTAAACAACCAAATGGCACATTCTGTAAGCCGCCAGCACTCAATCTTTCTCTTTCCGTAAGTCCAGAGTTCTCAGCTGCTCCCTCTCTTCGTGTCCGCATTTCTACCTCCATCTATGGTGTCGCTGCTTCTCTGGATAGGGTCTTGCATTCACCTGAGCGCTTCTGCCTTGATGATCCTAGAGTCCTTTGTTCCTGGGCTGTAAGATTAACTACTCCCCGCTTTTTGTTACAAAACTTATACTTTTACAGTTGTGACAGGCGCAATTAGTCATAGTAACAGTTACTATTCAATTCTAAGAATCTTATCCCTGTCTCTTTTTACCAGATCTGTCTAGACAAGATGAAAACTATTCAGTGGGGACTCTAACTTCCCCCCTGCACACTCTGAAACTAAACTCCCTCTTGAAAACTTGTAAGCCATTCACTTTGTATCTTTATCCCCTCCTCATTTTAAGTAGCCAGTGTCAAAGTTGCAGGTCCTTATCTGCCCTGTATACCGAAGGGATAGGATTCATACTTGAATTGAAGACTCCTTTCCTGTCAGTTGGTATTTTGAGTTACTACATCTATTAAGTATAGGTCATGTTCATCAAATTGTAGCAATTTACACTTGTTTCCTTTACCAAAAAATTTTTTTTTATTTCCTTTATCAAAATTTTTCATCAAGCCATCGAGGTTAGGTTATATGAGTACTATTTGCAAGTTTGGGTGGTGGTGTGCATCTCTGCTCACTTCATATCAGCTGGATGCTTCACTCTCACCTCTAAAAATTCCATTATCTTTTCCACAAACTTTCTGAAGCCTCCTCATGTGTAGACAATATATTTATTGAGTGCAAGTATATATGCAGGGTAACTCTCTATTTTTGGAAGTTTACATTCTTATCAACAGAGAAAAGACTGAAGTTGTTATAGACTTCATTCTTCTTGGCTCAACTATCAACACTCTCGGAAGCAGCAGTCAAGAGATCAGAGGACGTATTGCATTAGGCAAATCTGCTGCACAGGAACTTTTTAAAGTGTTGAAGAGCAGAGATGTCAACTTGAGGACTAAGGTGCGCCTGACCCAAGCCATGGTATTTTCAATAACCTCATATGGATGCGAAAGCTGGACAATGAATAAGGAAGATCATAGAAGAATTGATGCCTTTGAATTGTGGTGTTGGAGGAGAATACTAAAAGTGCCATGGGCTGCCAAAAGAACCAATAGATCTGTTTTAGAAGAAGTGCAGCCAGAGTGCTCTTTAGAGGCCAAGATGGTCAAACTTCATCTCTCATATTTTGGACGTATTGTCAGGAGGGAGCAGTCGCTGGAGAAGGCTATCATGCTTAGTAAGATGGAGGGTCAGAGAAAAAGAGGAAGCCCCCCAATGAGATGGATCAGCCAGGTGGCAACAACGATGGCATCAAGTGTGGCGGCGGTAGTGAGGGTGTCCCAGGATCGGGCAGGGTTTCGTTCTGCTGTGCATAGGGTCACAAAGAGTATATTTTGAATGTTTATTGATACTCCCAAACTGGGGCAGACATATTTTGAAATGACTGCCAGATGTGAACCATGCAGTGTTGGAAATCAGTGCTACTGGGCTCAAGTTCATCTGACAGAAGTCGTTAGAGTGTATTTAACGGCTCATTGTTGCTGTGCTTAGGATAATGGCAGTACATCGAATTGAGTGCTGCCAGCCTTGCTGGTTTGTTTTGCTCAAACCCTGTGGCTTTCCTCTGAACCCGTTTTCATATCAAATGTAGAGCAAGTGACGCTTTTAGCAATCCATTGATCACATAGCAAATGAATGGGGGCATGCCATGGTTTGGGGTAGATGAGGTTTATATTAGAACACTCTCCCAGTATTAGAGTCATCTGTGGCCTGTGGTTAGGATATTGTTTGTGGTGTGACTGGTTAATTAGGAGGGTCAGAAAGTGACACTAAGATGACAGTTACACTCCCTACAGTTAGCACGTCTTTTTCCTGTCACGTTAGCGCATGATTTAGCCATGAAGACAGCATGTAGTAGTAGGCAGGCAGGTCTTCCAGTGGATGCCCACTGGGAACCCTGTCAGACTCCTAAGCCAATTCTGCTGTCCTGACATAAATGGGGTCACCCTACCAGGCAACCTGGTCTGCACACAACATATGGACAGTGCCCCTGGGAGTGGAGAGGGCTTCCTGTTCACAAAAAGTTTGTCTGACAGTAAAGTTAGGCTGTGGGGTGTTTTCAGGGGTCTGGACCTTGATTGAAACTGTTGATCTAGAACACAAGTCAGAAGACTATAGATTCTAGCCCTGGCTCGGTTTCT